TGGACATCGGAAGAAGGAGAAAACAGGAACAGGAAAGGAGCCTACCACAGAGAGCCTCTGAAAGTCTCTACCCAGTAGGGTATCAAAACATATCTGAGACTCATAGCCAAACTTTGGTCAGAGTGCAGGGAATCTTATGAAAGAAGGGGGAGACAGAAAGACCTGGAAGGGACAGGAGTTCCACAAGGAGATCAATAGAACCAAAAAATCTGGGCACAGGGGTCTTTTGTGAGACTAATACTCCAAACAAGGACCATGCATAGAGATAATCTAGAACTCCTGCTCAGATGTAGCCCATGGCAGCTCAGTGTCCAAGAGGGGTTTCCTAGTAATGGGAACAGGGACTGTCTCTGACATGAACTCGGTGGCTGGCTCTTTGATCACCTCCCCCTGAGGGGGGAGCAGCCTCACCAGTCCACAGAGGGAGATAGTGCAGCCAGTGCTGATGAGACTTGATAGACAGGGTCAGATGGAAGGGGAAGAGGACCTCCCCTATCATTGGACTGGGGGAGGGTATGGGAGGAGAAGAGGGATGGAGGATGGGCATGGGAAGAGAAGAAGGAGGGAGGGTAGGATTGGGAGGGGTTGGGAGAGGGGGCTACAGCTGGGATACAAAGTGAATAAACTGTACTTAATAAAAATAAAATTAAAAAAAGAAAAAAAATGCCACTTGAGGGACAGTGTGTGACTAGGGAAAGTTTTCTGGCTTCTTGCTTTTAGTTTTTCCTACTGTTTGACCAGCCTGTCAGGGTATGATATCCCCTGGAATAAACAGTGTGAGTCTCACCCCAGCTGATGCTCAGTTTGTAACTGCTTAGCTGGAATGAATATGACCAATAATCCTGCTTAAAATAGTCACTTAAAATAGGAGTCACCAAGCATTTTCTGGGAAGGGGCAGACTTTGGGTTTGCAGTCCTCTCTTGCAGCTAGTCAACCTTACCATTACCATGCAAAGAAGCTACAGGTGGTACTTAAGAAAATGGCTAGGTCTGGGTTTCAACAAAACTTCATTTCCAGAGTGAGGTGCCCAGATAGGCTAGATCCATGGGCTGCAGCTCACTGTCCTGGACTTAGAGTCCTAAATGGGAAGCAGCTTGACAACTACATTTTCCATCACCATCAGGGCTTACTCAGAAATTCTAGTCTCTCTCTCTCTCTTTTTTTTCTATCTGTGGGACAGTTAGCTTGGAAGAAAGATTGACTGAGGCACAGTACCCGAATACTTGGTCTGGTGAAAGGCCCCTCAAGAGAATGTTTTGTATTGTGAGTCACTGTCCAATATAGAGTTCTCCATGAACTGATAGTGCTCTCCCTTCGTTAAAGGAGGTTAGTCTTTTTCTATATTAAGCCTTCCCAAGTTGTAGGAGGCTGACCTGCACCTGACTAACTTTTTTCAAACCTGACTGACTTCAAGGTTAATCTCATCCTAGAAATACACAGAAGGGGGCCGTTGCACTAACACAGTGTGCCACGTTTACTGTGTAAACATTCTGTGACCTTGGGGCTGCTGTTTTCTGTGACTTCATGCTCTGCTAGCCTAGCTGCCTCAGCTCCAAGTGGAGCATAACCCCCTCTAAGACAGAGATGAGTGATTACACCAATCTCCTGCTGGGGCACTGGCTTCCTCATGCCCGTGCTCCGGCCAAAGGAAGAGGTCACTGCACCCGTAGACAACTGATTCTAAACACCAAGCGGAAATTGTTCTGTTATTCTACATAAGCTAAGTGTGTATGGAATAAAAGGGGCAACGGTTATCTCAGTGTTGTTAATACTATGACTAGAGACTAAAGGCAACAGAAAACGTCAATTCAGATAGGATCAATATTTTAGATGCTTCAGGAATGAGGATTGGCATCACCTTACCATGTAACGAGAGCTATGAGTAGATGAGGTGAGGGGCTTATTAGGGTAAAAGAAATAGGAATGAAAGGCAGAGGACGGTATGACCATGAAGCCAGTAATGAAAACGAGGTCTATGGTTATCCTGAGTATTTATTTCTTCTCTTGTGAATATCCTTAAGCATCTATGTGTGGCTATCTTTATTCCTCTTCATATTGGGGATCAAAAGATGTGCAAACTTCATATTAAAACATTTAAATACTATTAATTATAACAACATAGTATATGAATTACAGAATATCAAGGGGAAATTTTAGCATTACTTTGTATCCTCATCAGGGAAGTGTTTAGGCTGTTTTTATACAGTATCATTGTGTCACATGTCATGGCCTTGTTATTTGAAAATCAGATATCTAAACACCCAGTCAAATATTTATTCTAAGATGTTTCTGTGGCGACTGTTTTGTTTTTGAAACAGGGTCTTACACTGTTGCCCAGGAATTCGCTTCGTGGCCCAGGCGCCTTGAGGCAATCCTCTTGCCCATGATCTTCATGTCCAGCTCATATTCCATGTATTTTTAGAAGGAGATTAACACTTAAACTCGTCAACTCTGAACAAATCAGATTTCACACCATGTTGAAGGTCAGTCTTGCTCACTGTTGGAAGGCCGACCAATCTTATTGTCTACAGATGCTGCCTGTAACTCACCTTTGGATTTGAACCATAACACGAATGCGGGGACTCTCACTGGACATTTAGGCTTGCATCTCTACATGCTCACGAGTCAATCTTGCAGGGTACAACTTAATTACGGTCAATTTCTGTATGTACTCATATCTGTGCACACACACCACTGATTAGCCCTGTGTCTAATCTGAAGTCCGGTATGTGTACTTTGCTTTCCTTATCTGCTCTCCCTCCCTTTTTGAGTCATGGGCTCTCTTTGTAGTCTAGACTGGCTTGGAACTCACTCGACAGCCCCAGTTTGCCTAGAATTCTTTTTAACATAGAAGATACGTTTTTACTTGTTTTCTAATTATACATCTGCCTATAGGTCTGTATGGGGGATGTACATGTGGATTCAGGTGCCTACAGGGGTCAAAAAGGAATATTAGATCCCTGCAGCAGGAGTTACAGGTGTTTATGGGCCATTTGACATGGCTGCTGGGAACAAAACTCCAGTCCACACCTTTAACCAGTGACTCACTTCTCCAGCCCCATACCTTAACCTCTTGATCCTTCCGCCATTGTCTCCCTAGGGCTGAGCCAACAGGCCGTGTCATCAGGCTTTATTTTTTATTTTTGAGTGACAGAAACCTCTATAATGATATCATTAGAAAAGGAGAAAAATAATCACTTTATTCCCTTAGATTAAGATAAATGAATATTAAACACTTTTCTGGTGAAAAGCAATAGAGCGAAGAGCTAGTAATATACAGCTCTTTTGGGGCTACTTTCCCTGGCAATATGCCATTCTTGGTGTCACTAATCATAGGCGCTGTTGTCTTTAAGATGAGGGAGGCTAGATTTTGGCCAAGCCACTTGAAACTTCAGGACCTAACATTCAAAGAAATGCCAACTATGTAGCATCCATGTGTTTTTAATTAGTTTGAACATAATCTTGATTTAAGATCTTAAGCTGATAGGTCTAAACTTATTTTTTTCTGTCATTGGCCAGGCTGTAATGTAAACGATTCAGCTGGTGACCAGGAAGAGCTGAGGGGTGATGGGCCTTTTCTGACTCACACGGTTGCTCCTCCCACCTGGTTCTCACCCACAGTCTCAACCAGCACAGAGCTCCCCAGCTCAGAGACATTCAAGGGCACGTGGGGAACCATGTGTGGCTCTATCTCCTGAGAGCCTTCCCATGTCTACACTTAGGGTTTAGCAAATTCTTTCACCTTTCTGTAGAACACAACGGTAGCCAGGAGGGAGACAGCTAATACAAGATGATAGAGACATTTTGTTCCAAGAGCTAATACAAAGGCGTTAGCGTGTCTGGGCCCCCATGTCCTCTAGAGCAGCGGCTCTCCACATGTATGTCAGGACCCCTTTGGAGGGTGGAATGCCCCTTTTTCAGGGAATGCCTGAGACCATTGGCAATACCAAATATTTACGTTATGATTAATAATGGTAACAAAAGTTACAGTTATGAAGTATCAGTGGAAACAATTCTAAAGTTGGGCTCACCACAGTATGAGGAATTGTGTTAAAGGGTCGCAGAAGGCAGAGAGCCACTGCTCTGGAGAGACACAGCTTCCAGGGAATTGGTGAAGACAACTATTTCATATGCCTACTCCCTGTCCCCACCCCAGTCCAAGAAAATTAACCCATGGCTCTCGAGACAGTCTTTCATGTCAATGCCTTGTTTGGAATATTTTGCAGCATTCCTCTCCTACCTAAGCCCTGGGCAACCTTCCTTGACTGATGTCCCAGCGCAAGCCTCTCTATCCCGAGCCTGCCTCTGTCCATTGATGCTCTGTGTTGCCTCCCCTGTGAATGTCTCTGTAGTAAGAAAGACTGTGGTACCTGTTAAGTCTTTAACAACTGCAACAGTAAACCACCCATTTTATAAGAATCAGCCCCTGGCTCAAGTACTTTAAATATAGTGATATTCTTTAAACTCTTGTATGACTTGACAGCATACCCTGACCGTGAAAACCAAGACTTGGAAAGTAATTTGCCCAAGGTTCTACTAAGTAGCGCACAAAGCATAATTAAAACCTGGTCATCATTTTCAGTGCGAGCCACCTGCTGTGACTTTGCAAGCAGTATGTGCCCAGGGGATCAGTCTGTGACTGGAACCTTTCCGATAGTAGGGCTGGGCTGTGTATTTGGTTGGCGTTTCTGGAGGTCCTCAAAGGGGCTTCTTTCATGCAGGAGAGCAGGCAGAGAGTTCAGGAAGAGGGCTGTTGCAACTAGAGCAGGTGATGCCAGAAAAGGGTTTGCCGTTTGCTAAGCATGGACCCAAAATATAAGCGTGTCAGGGACTCACACAGATCACACCGCATAGTCTAGTCAATGAAGAAGAGAGTTATGATCACATCCATAGCTAGACACACAGGATGCATCCACAGCTAAGGCACACTGCTCATGCATCCAAGCCTTGTAGACTCCGGGAATTAGTCAAGGAATTAATCATCCGTTCAATTACATACCTTCTGGAATACACTGTCCAAGAACAAATTTATATCCTTTACAGCATTTTTTCCTAAGAGACAAACAGACAAACAAACAAAAAAGCATCTTAGATGTGATGTTAGGTTAAAAATAAAGTTATTCATAGTTACTGCTATTGTATAACATAATGTGTTCAAAAAAGATATAGAGTAGAGGTGGAACATTTTAAATGCAATCTGGGGTTAAAAAGAAAAATATTAAAATCAGATAACTACATCTTCCAAATAATAGATGAGCCCAACCCGCTGGGTCGTATGAAGAACATGAGTTGGAGGACAATATAGTTTCAGTGTATTAAGGGATGACCACAGGCAAGACTGGATGAATCTTGAGCTGTTACCTACCACAGCCCCCTTTTCACGTTACATCTGATCAGGTCAGTTGCCTGTGTGAGAAAAGCATCTATACTCTGAACGAATACAAGATGCAGGGCTGCTAAGAGATGCTTGCACAAGTGTCGCCCCCTCCTCCCCCCGAGGAGACTGTCAGGGACTCCCAGATGTCAGAACAATCACTTTACAGTCGCTGTTTATCTGTAGTTCAAAGACGTAAAGAAAAATACACCTGTAATTAATTTTAAAAAACTCGAAAAGTTTTTAGCAAAGAAAGAAACTTTTACGACTGGAAGTTCTAGAGCTAGCCAGATGGCTCAGTGGGTTAAAGTATTTGCTACACAAGTCTGATGATCTGAGTTCAATTCCTGAATCCCACTGTAGAAGGAGTGAGTTCTGAAAGATGTCCATCGGCCTCTACATGTGTGATATGTTGCGTTCCCTTCCCTCTCTCAAATAATAATAAATGAAAGAAAATTGAAAATTAGAAAAATTGAAATACTGAAACTATAAAACTTATCTAAATCTTAAAAAGAAAACTCACAAAAAATCAGAGTGGAAATATTTGATGGTCAGCTTATGCCACTGTCTTGGTAATTCAGCTTTGAGACACCAGGGATAGCTTGCCAGAAGAAAAGAACAAATGGTATCAACAATGGGAAGTTTCCTGCCATTGAACACCACTTCCCTTGCCAGCCATCTGAATGAGGGCCTGGAATTTTCTGAGTAGCTTATTGACCTATTTTTTATCTGGTAGTAATACCCAAATACTAGGGGAGACCAATCCCCAACTAACCATCATCTCTCCTCACCAAATGAAGCTTCCAGTCCTGGGAATGAATTACATCTAATTTGAGTTTTTGGCCAAAGAAATACCATGGGAACCTCCAAACAACTCAGGTTATTACCAAGGCTATTGACTGCTCTCCACAAACTGGCAGCAGGCAAAACCACATTGCTAAAGACAACACCTACACAGCTCACTGAACAGACAGGTCCAACTGGTACCTTCCTAGAATCTTCACCTTTATTGAGGTTCATGGTACTGAAAGGTCCTCTGCATGCTATCACAGGAGAAAGAGAACTATCAATGCCACACAACCACCATACTACCAGGGAGACCTATTTATAGCATGTGTTGGTAAAAATAATGGCAAAAATCTTGTGGGAATAACCTACCAATATTTGATTTAAGGACCACTCCAAGAGATGGAACACATACCCACTGCTGCTTGTGTGGCCAAGACCAGGAGCCTAGGGGAAAACCTAATACCACTGTTCTGCTAAATAAAGTAACAAAATGACTCCTAACAGCATTCTTCTCTACTCACAGATCCGGGCCTTGTTCAGCCCTCTCAGAGAAGCTTCTTCCAACAGCAGATGGAAACAGGTACAACCACCTACAATCAGACCATGTGTAGAGAGTAAGAGACCTTGAAATGTTCAGTCCTAAATGGGTGTCTCCATCAAATCGTTCCCCTCAGGGTTCAGAGAACCCCGTGAAAGAGGAGGGGGAAGGATGCAGAGACTATGGCAGCAGGCTCATGCCCTCAACCACATGGAGTCCTAGAGTTGAATAGAGAAGTGGACACACATCCCAAAGCTAGCTCCAGTTTATAACTGCTTGTAAGTTAAAAATGAAAAATTAGTTTTCTTTGAAGGAAACAAATCACTCCTTTAAGGGTAGACCCTATGTCCAGCAGGAGGCAGATGACAGAAAACAAACACCATGGAGGTCCTCGTAATGCTGTTAGAGATATATATTTTTTTAACCTTACAGGTATTATCTGTATACTATGGCTTTTGGTTTGGATTGTGTGTGTGAGAGAGAGAAAGGAAGAGAGAGAGAGAGAGAGAAAGAGAGAGAGAGAGAGATTCCTCTGTGCCCCTACATCTATATGCATTTCCTGTGCTTTTTTTCTTTGGCTCATTTTCTTGTTTAGTTGTCTTATCGTTTTCTGATGTTTGGTTTTGATTTATCTTATTTTGCTTTAATTTTTAGATGAATATTTTCTAATGAGAGACAGAAAGGGCATTGACCTGCATGGGAGGGGAGGTGCAGGGAGGAAGTGGGGGAAGTGGGGAAAGGGAGGGGAGGAATGGGAGAGAGGAAATCATAATCAGAATAAATGTATTTAAAAAAACTTATTTTCAATGAAAGAAAAGTAAAGATGATTTGTACAGTCTATAATATTGGTTAAATCAACTCATATGAGTTGCCTGCCAAGTAAATTACTGTTTGTGGGAGAAACTTCAGTAATCTCTTCTAAAAACATAAGATTTACAAAATGTTACTAAGAGCCTACTGTGTAAACTGTGGTAAAACTTACTAAAAGTCATACAAAGTCATATTTGTAAGAGAATCTGAAGTTGGGCTGGGTATAGCACTCTTCTCATCCCCTCCTGCAACATCCCTCAGAGGGAGGCCAGCTGGGGTGGCACCCTCACTTCAGAAGCACACAAGTGAGCTGTTCTTATGAAAACAAACACTGGGCTAGAGGCTGAGTGCCAGCTGCTCTTCCAGAGTTTGATTCCTAGCACCCACATAGCAATTTGCCACCAGGTATAACTCCACTGTCAGGGCATCCAATGCCTTTTTCTGGACTCCAAAGGCACCAAGCATTCACATAATGCATAGAGAAGCATGCAGCCAGCACATGCACGCACACACATACGAAAAGAAGTGGTGTCAGATTTGAGGCAAAAGATAAATATTCGTTCTCCCCACCCACATTTTTTTCTGCCTGTCCCATTCTCCCAACGTAGATGAACTTGACTCCTCCGTCAGCACCCTTTTTAAGAAGGAAACCATCTACCCACTCAGCCAACCAGCAACTTTTTCAACCGACCAGCACCGCACGTGGCTCCTCCTGTCCCAGCCGTGCATGGAGAGCCTGGCACTGTAGGCAGGCATTTCTTTTTTTCCATGGTGAGGTCATGTGATTGTGCTCCTTTCTTGTGGGAGGGACCCCCAGAGGGGTTGAATCCCTACACTGGCTAACACAATACTGATCAATAGGCTTGGGATAGCCCTCTCCCCACTATCTAAGCCATCCCATCGAGGTTAGCAGACTACCCCCATGTTTGAGCAGCATAAAGACCACAGACTCAGGGGTGCTTGAGGACCACTGACTCAAACGGTGATGCTTGCCACGACGAAGTGGAGGTTGTATGAGCGAGGCTTACACTGGTTCTCTTTCATCAAGGGAAGTGGGCTTTACATAAACAGCCAATGGCCACTGTGCCAGAAGTGTTCCACAGTGACAGTTTACAGTCTCAGTACGAATGACATAATCAGACGTAATTTCCCAACATCTCCAACTAAAATATCTCACTCTGAGGGAAGCCCGCCTGGAAAACATTAACAGTGATGACTTGGAGGGTTCACCTTGACATTGCCATGGAACTGAAACCGAGCCTACCTTCCCACAGTTTGGGAAACGGTCCAAGCTGCCCGCAACCACAAGGAATGCCACCTTCATACAGCAATTCATTAAAAACTGTATGGTTATGACCTACTGAGATACCTGTAGCTATTCTTCAGAATGCTGAGAGAGGGAGAGCAGAGCTCTGGCTGTTTTGACACTCAGGTGGTCCACGAGAAGGTTGGATGGAAAGACATATGTTTTTGATACTCAAATATAGCATCAAGTAGGAGGTTTTGTTTTTGTTTTTACTTCTATGTAAGTACGACAGCTTAGGTAAAGTCCATGACATACTCTAAGACGTATGAAAGACCATAATAAATGGTTCCAATCTTTTCTCTCATTCAAGACATACTCAGGCACTGTCCATGTTTTGAGCATTTGAAAGGCTCTGAGCTGTGCAAACAGGTGGGGTTTTTTTTGTTTGTTTGTTTTTGTTTTTGTTTTTTCTGGTTGCATTATTTTTGAGGGAGAGGGTTGGTTTTGTATGTGCATGTGTGGAGACTGACATCAAGTGTTTTCCTAGATTGTTCTCCTTGTTACTTCTATATCTATGCGTTTCCTCGTAGATAGGGTCTTACTGAGCTTGGAGCTCATGGCCTGGGTCAGACAGGCTGGCTAGTGCTCTCCAGGCATCTTCATGTCTCTGCGCTACAGTGCTAGGGTGACAGGTGACATTGTAGTGCACGGCTTCTTCTCGGATAACTTTGTACAAGATGAAATAACAGCCAAAGTGATTTGATATGTTTCTTCAAAAACCCCAGAGAATCTCTGAGTTGCAGCCTAGGGGCATACCACTTAAATACCAGTTTAAATCTAAAAACTAACATGCGCTCGGAGATTTTCTTAATTGCATCATTGTGTCCGGCTCTCTGTTTCAGCAAAGAGGCGCTCAGATGCGAGGCTGCCTCCCGACCTTCCCCAGAGTTCCTGGGAACACATCATTGTTTTACATGTTCAGAACCCACCAACTATAGACTGCCATTTAAAAATAAATGAAATGTTCTCAAGTATAGGAAAATAAACACTGGCTACATACATCATACTATGTCAGAGATTTCTTACAACAGAATTTACATGTAATAAAGTTGAGATAGCCCAAGTGAAATCTTGTCATGTAAGCCAGGTGCTTGTTAGACTGAACGCCAAACACTGCTGTGCAGTTTTTATCTTTAAGAAAAACAAACTATGACGAGGAGCACTCGCAGGGACTCTAGGGAGGCAGCCTTTCTTAATCCACTTCACGTGTCCTAGCCGGGTTTCCAAATGAGGAT